ACGCTGCTTGTACCATACCACGTGATCAGGCTATGTAGATCCGATGAGAACTGACCAATCACGCTGCTTGTACCATAACCACGTGATCAGGCTATGAATCCGGGATGAGAACTGACCAATCACTTGCCATGTGATCAGGCTGTAGATCCGGGATGAACTGACCAATCACGCTGCTTGTACCATACCACGTGATCAGGCTATGTAGATCCGAGATGAGAACTGACCAATCACGCTGCTTGTACCATACCACGTGATCAGGCTATGTAGATCCGAGATGAGAACTGACCAATCACGCTGCTTGTACCATACCACGTGATCAGGCTATGTAGATCCGGGATGAGAACTGACCAATCACGCTGCTTGGACCATACCACGTGATCAGGCGAACTGAGAATGTTTGGAAGCGAGACTGGAGGCGTTTTTTTATGTCCTTTTACATATTAAAGCTGTTATATCTATCAGTTTCTTTGTCCTTGTGTCTGTTTGTCTGTTGTATAAGGTGTAGAGCACTGAATGATAACCCAAGAGGTGAATATAAGTGAAGAATGGAATGTCTGCAGTACTAGTGAAAAGTTGAAATGGTGTTACAGGGAAGCCACTGTCACGCCACCTTTAATACGGGTGAGAATTGTATTGGTAAAATGTGTATCAAGTCCCTGTTCTGCTCTCTCTCTCTCTCTCTCTCTCTCTCTCTCTCTCTCTCTCTCTCTCTCTCTCTCTCTTTGTCTGTCTCATTTGTTCATTTGAGACATGATAATTAAAAATAACTAAACACCGTGGTGAGGTTAGGTTGCATTTAAAGTTGATTAAAGAATTCCATTATAGGTGAATTTTTATTACAGTTGACGTTGTTACATTTACAGTAATTTTGGTATCATATTTTAAGAGAATATTACGTTTATTTAAGGCTGGGAGTTACATTTAAGGGAACTAATACCTTTAAGGGTGGCATCTAATTTTAAGTAACTGTTACTTTTAAGAGAGTAACTATTTTTTAGGGTGATAATATACTTAGAAATATAACTCACCTAAATTGTAATTACTTCCTTACATACTCATAATAAAATGACCCTTTACCGTGGACCCGTAAAGTGTGGAATACAGCGTTATGTGTACATTATCGACGACTCGGATATTACATAACATTACAGTTCTCCCTATTACTGTAATTACCGAGATCACAATTACGGGATAGTCTGCGTTCATATTTTAGTCAACTTTGTAACCAGTGTATTTTTGTATTATGTTAATGAGTTACGTGTGTTTGTATGTCCTGTTAGGTAAAATATAATTATAACATGGTGCGCTGGTGTGTTGTATCCTGCCTGAGTGTGTTAGTTTATTAGTGTTATCTACCGCCAGGTGTAAACAGCCCCGTTGTTTATGGTGACACAGCAAGTACTTACACACCTACAGTAAACATGTCGCTTCTGTCTGGCTCCTGTATAAAGGTAGTGGTGGTGGTGGTGGTGGTGTGAGACGGAAAGACCCACACGGCCTTGCATAGTCGTCTTTACACAGAATTTCTACACCTATGACGTCATCCCTTAAAAAGTGTTCGTTATAGACACTAAAATAAAAATAATGCTACTTAACAACCCTGGTAGTTGAATCACCAAGATCAAAACACACTCAAGAGATAAAACAATTGAAATAAACCAATGACACTATCAACACCCTCGTCACTACACACTAATTAACCTCGTCTAAAGGTTTATAACATTATTAATTACAAAGGCACAGAAGAAGACTAGGGTCTAAAATAATCCCAGGTATATAAATATTGGTGATAAAACTCTCTTGAAAAGGTGAAGGGTGGCAGCAGGGGGACGTGTGTGTGTGGACATCAAACTGTTCAAGTGTCATGAGAGAGAGAGAGAGAGAGAGAGAGAGAGAGAGAGAGAGAGAGAGAGAGAGAGACTGGTAATGATGATGACTGTTGTTGATGACGAACATAATAATGCCTTCATAATGGTAATAACGATGATTGATGATAATGATAACTATTGATACGGTAATGATGATGATTAATGATGAATCTTGATGATAATATTGATGACTATTAATGATGATAATGAGTGAAGATGATGATGATACACTCCATCATAAGACGCAGCTCTCAAGGGGCGGGTGTCTTGTCTCTTAATTAATTCACTGAGGCGCTGGTAATATAAATAATAATAATAATAATAATAATAAAGGGTTTATTAATAGAGTTGCAACCGGTGGTTGAAAATATACAGACTTACATTAGATTTAGACATAATGATATAATATGCATTGAATACATTTACAGGGCTGTGCAGTACATAAATCAGGAGTGGTTTATTATTTTAACAATAGATGGGATGGTGCTGTTCTTATAACTATCGGTGCGGGCTCTTATGGGCTGAATTTTGTTGTAGTGGCGGACTGCGCGAGTTGGGTGGGGGACTGCAGGTGGCGATGGCGAGGGTGGTGCAGTAGTCCACGGCCAAACCTTTCCAGTGCTTGGTGGTGGAGGTCACTGAGGGATGGCATTTCCAGGGTGGAGAGAGCGTTGGTCTAGCCGGAGTATTCTGCGCCGAGCATGATTCTGCAGGCCCTTTTCTGTACCTTCTCTTGCTGACGTGGTTGGGTAGAGTTGAGAGAAGACGACCAGGCTGGTGACGCATACGTTAGTTTGGGGAGAATAAAGGCGTTGTAGATGGTCCTCAGCTCTGGTGTGGGTGCCCCAAGTGGCCTGAGTCATCGTAGCATGTAGAGACGGTACGAGGCTGCCTTGATTGTGTTGTTTACATGGGCCTTCCAGTCCAGTTTGTGGTCTCTGGTAACACCCAGGAGTTTGGCAGACTGCACTAACTGGAGAGGATGGGCACCCACTGTGACTGCTGGAGCTTGCACTGGAGTGGTGGCGGTATTGATGTGCATGACTACGGTTTTGGTGTGGTTGATGGTGACCTTGTTCTCTGTAGTCCATGTCTGTAGCCTGTCCGGGGTGCCTTGGAGCGATGAGTAGTCTGGTGCGGTGTTGTCCACTGAAACCCCTACAGTGCAGTCATCCACGTACTTCCACCTGTGAGGAGTGTCCGATAGAGCGCCGTTGATCAGGATGAGGAAGCACAGTGGTCCCATCTTGGTCCCCTGGGGAACACCACAGGTGAGGTGTTGGAATGTGGAGACCGAGCCCTGATACCTCACTGCTTGGCGACGTCCACTCAAGAAATCAGTGAGCCATGAGACCAGGTTGGTGGGCAGCCTTAGTGCAATAGCCTTGTTGATAACAGTGCAGTGATCAACAAGGTCAAAGGCCTTCCTGAAGTCCACAAGGGCAACGGCCAGTGATGTCTTTCGTTTCTGCAAGTTTTTGTGTAGAAAATCCAGAAAGCTCACCAAGTGTATGTATGTGTGTGTGTGTGTGTGTGTGTGTGTGTGTGTGTGTGTGTGTGTGTGTGTGTGTGTGTGTTTATGAACATGTTTCTAGAGCTGACATCATTTCATCTATCAATGCGGATCTATGCAGCATCTCCGAATTGGGAGGTAGAAACTTGTTCAATTCATTAATAATAAACCTCAGTATTTACCAATTACACTTTCTAAATTAGATGATCTCCCACCAATTACATTTCAGGACACAATCATTCTGCCAAGTTCTAAAATAGATATGCTAGACTTCACCATTTCCTCTAATATGTCATGGAAGCCACACATCCACAACATTGCTAAAGCTGCCTCCCGAAAGCTGGGAATGCTGTACAGATGCCGTAGCTACTTCACTCCTGAGCAGTTGCTTCAAGTATATAAGGGATTCATTCGTCCTAACTTGGAGTACTGCTCTCATATCTGGGGTGGCTCTTCTTCTGTCCAACTGTTAGATAGGGTGGAATCAAAGGCATTTCGTCTTATTAACTCTCCTCCTTTAGTTGACAATCTTTCTTCCCTTTCTCTTAGTTGCAATGTTGCTTCACTCTCTCTTTTATAGGTACTTAAACGGGCAATATTCGGTGGATTTGACATCTTGTATACCGCCGGCAAGGCCGTGGGCTCGTAAAACTCGTCTTGCCTCCCGTTGTGGGGGGGGGCCCCCTATTCCCCGTAAAAAAAAAATACGATATTGAACGACCTTCAGAATCGGGAGAAAAATATACAAAGTTTACATTAATTATAGAGAGGAGGGCTGTAGTCGCCATCCCTCAGACACTGATGTACCACCTTGACTAAATTTTGGTTATCAACGTAAAGTATAAGTAAGTTGAACCTGAAATACCTTATACTTTACATGATTCTGTACTTTATAGATACTGATGGAGAGGTTTAGAGAGCGTCATAGTAGGAGATAAAGTGACTGATAAGAGGTAGATAAGGGAGGGAGGTAAGGGAAGGATAAAAAGGGAGAGAACAAGGACATCGTGAAGGTGATAAATGAGGAACGGAGAAAGGGGAGGAGAGGAAAGCGAGGGACTAAAGGTGGAGAGAAGGGGAAAGGGAATAAGAAAAACGGAGGGAAAAGAAGGAAAGTGGTTAGGGAAGGAGAGAAAGGAATAGAAAAGGGGGGTGAAGGTAAGGAGAGAGAGAGAGAGAAGAATAAGAGATAATAAGAGAAAGGAAAGAAAAAAGAAGGAAATAAAGGAAAGCAGAGAGGAAAGGCCAAATATAAGAATAGGAAGAGAAAAAGGAGGTGAGGAAGAGAGGAAGGAAAGATAATGAGAGAAAGGAAGTGTAAAGTAAAGTAGAAAGGAAAGGACAAAGGGATGGAGAGAAAATAATATAAAAGGCCGCAGTTAGGGAGAGAAGTTTCTGGGAAATTTTATGTTTTCATCTCGACTCTAGTGTACCGGGTCCCTGTGTCCGCTGGGATCACTGTCCCTGCTAACTTAATAACGCAGCGTAGACGGGACTGGTGGACCTAAGCTGAATCACTATAATATCCAGAATTGATCATGTAACCTAACCTAACCTAACCTAAACTTTGGTCTGATTCTTTATATGGATGATTCTAATGTTATCTTTCTTCTCTACAGGTTGTGGTGGCAGGTCAGACGCTCAACATTGTGACGAGAGAAAACAAGAAAGCAGTGTCGTGATGCCTCATAAAGTGACGATGACGACCACCATCACCAACACACGTCAAGGCAACACACAAAGGCTCTCAGTGTCAGCATAACGTATCATCATCACTACCGCCACCCTCGCCACCACTATGTTGAATATTAGTACAGCGGCGCCCCTCTTGGCTGCCGCCCTCACCACCCTAGCCCCACCCACCCTACAGCCGCCCATCACCACAGATCCATACGGTAACTTCTCCTACTACTACAACAGCACAGATCTGGAAGCCACCGAGGCCTCTGAACAGGAGATAGTTGATATAAGCGGGTACGAGGCGTTCCTAGACATCTCCCGGTATGTGGTGCAGCGGGTGTTGGTGCCCATGGTGTTGGTGGTGGGGGTGGTAGGTAACGCCGTGACCATCGTGGTGCTCACTAGGCGACAGATGCGTTCCTCCACCAACAACTACCTCACCGCTCTCGCCATCTCCGACCTCCTCTACTTGGTGTTTATCTTCTCCCTCTCCATCCGCCACCACCCGGGGATGAGTCGCCCACATCATTGGTTCTATTGGCACTACTTCCGCTACGCTCTCTGGCTCACCGACGCCTCCAGTAAGTACACCGTCTATCTATCTATCTATCTATTTATCTTTTGTTGTTCCAGTTGTTTTATGTAATGTATATGTCACTGTGGCCTGCGGTGGCTGAGTGGATACAACGCTCGTCTCCTGTACTAAGGGTTCAGACCGTCCCTGGAGGCGTAGTGGTGTACAGTATCCGGTATTCACTCTGTTCTCTGGTGACTAAAACTCACTTTTTCGTATTATATTGTAGTGTAAATCGCCGTTTGTATATGTATGTATTCCTTATAAGTAAAACACACACACACACACACACACACACACACACACACACACACACACACACACTGTCTGCTCATATAAAGTCTAACAACAAGACCCAGACGTTCCCCAGGGCACAGGTAAGTAATTTAGGAGTTCACCTGTCCCGGGTAACAGGAGGGCTTACGTGGGGGGAGGGCAGAGAACAGAAACAAAGCACCAGAAGGAAACACAATAAAAAAAAACTCAATTCTAAAAATATTTTGCTGGTAGACGAAGATTTTTTTTTTATAATATTTTTGTTTTTGTGAAAGATGAAAAATATTTGGTTGTGTATAAATTAAACTAATGAAGGAAAATTGGTATAAAATGTGGCGTTATTTTTCACACTTGTTTAAAAAGAAATAAAGAAATTTGTTATGATTATATATATATTTTTAGTGAATAATATAAATTTCCATGAATTTGTATAGCTATGGGAAACATTTATTCCTCGGGTTTATATTTTAGTTGGGAATGTGTCGCTATGGTTTATATGAAGGTTTATATAGTCTAGTAGGTTTGTGGTTTATAAGGTATATACATAATAATTACTGATCAGGGAAAGTTATAGTGAAGTTATATATAAAGAACAACAAATTTATATAGTTGTCTTAAAATGTATATAGATTGATTGACTCATAAGGAGAGAGGAAAGGAGAAAGAGAGAGAGAGAGAGAAAGAAAGAGAGTGGGTAAGAGAGAATGAAATAAAGATTATATTAACCGCTTGAGGACTATGACTTGATTAACTGAGTACTAATACGTAATTTCTTGAGTACCATAACGTACATTAGGAACTTAGAGTACAATATATTAGTTTGTTCCACCAGCTCCAATATTACTGAGACGACCTTTTAGAAATTGTCAAGCGCTATTTCCAGTGTGTGGGCCGCTATCACTGGACGACGGTGGTGGTGGGCGGGGGTGGTGGTTTGTGGGCGAAATTTGGTAGTGGTGGTGGTGGTGGGCGGGGTGGTAGTGGGCAGGGTGGTGGTTGTGGGCAGGGGGTGGTGGTTGTGGGCAGGGGTGGTGGTTGTGGGCGGGGGTGGTAGGGGAGATGGTGGGGGTAATGGTGGTGAGGTGAAGGTATCAGCTGAGGGAGGGAGGGAAAGGAGAGAGGGAGAGGGAGGAGAAAGGAGGGAAGGAGGGAGGGAGGGAGGAAGGAGATGGGGAGGGAGGGAAGGGGAGAGGGAGAGGAGGAGATGGGGGAGGGGAAGGAGGGAGAGAGGGAGGGAGGGGGAGGAGGGGGAAGGATTAAAGAGAGAGGGAGGAGGGGCTATCTTGACATAGCTTAAAATAACCTCCTTGAGGGGTGTGCAGCAGATTGACGTCACCAGGGAGAGGTAATGGGGAGAGAAGTAGGAGGTGAGTGATGGGAGAGAAGGGAGAGGCAGTAGGGAGGAGGAGGGAGAGGTAAGCGGGATGGATGAAGTAGTGGGGAGAGAGAAGGGGAGGTAAGTAAGAGGGAGAGGTCTTTAGGGGTGGAGGAGATATAATGGAGGGGTAGTGAGGAGAGGCAATAGAGAAGAGAATAAAGAGGAGAAAAAGGCCAGTAGAACTAATCTATTAATAGTATGCTCAAAAAGATGTCCAAATCCTTAATGGCATCTTCAAAAACTACCTTTATGTTCGTCTCGCCTCGCACGCAGAAGACGGTCTTAAAAAATCGATTCTCAAGAAAAGAAAATCTAACCTCGTAAACTTTCGACAAAATTGTATTACCGAACGCTGCCAATGTTTACCCAATTTGAAAGTCGGGTACTCTAGCCTCCTGTCAAGTAGGCTACGCCCCTCACCCCTTCACCCCCACTCCCTCCGCTGTGGTAAATGTAAACAAACTATGTGTGAAATATGATTTTTATTTCTTGCAGTAAGGGACCACTGAGCTATGCCAAACTATGTCCCCATTCGTGTTAAAGATCAGGCGCACCTCAGTAATGGTTTGTTTACCGTGTATCTAAGGTTCCCTCCCCCCATTATACATGTCATCTGCAAGAACAACACCACAAAGCACAATAAGATTTTTCTCAGACAGAAGTGAAATAGATCAGGTGAGTCTCTTGTAGACTCTTACCTACAGTATATTATCTGTTACAGTTATGGTTGTTATCATGTGTAAGGTTGGGGTTATATTTAGTTGGGGTTTACATTTAAGGCTGATATTACATAAGAACATAAGACGGTGGAAACTGCAGCGGGTGTATTGGTCCATACTGGGCAGTCTCATTTACACCCAACCCCTATTGCTCATATATCCATCCAACCTGTGTTTGAAGCTATCCAGCGTATTCGAGTTAATGATGTTGTTTGGTAACTTGTTCCACTCGTCCACTACTCTATTTCCAAACCAATGTTTACCTATTTCGCGCCTAAATCTAAATTTGTCTAATTTAAAACCATTGTTACGAGTTCGCTCCTGGTTGGATAGTTTGAGTACCTTTGTGATATCACCTTTGTTTAGCCCTAACTTCCACTTATACACCTCTATCAGGTCGCCCCTCGCTCTACGTCTCTCGAGGGAGTGCAAATTAAGATGCTTTGACCTGTCTCTGTACTCAAGGTTCCTAATGCCCGGGATTAGTCTTGTCATTCTCCTCTGAATTCTTTCTCGGGATTCTATATCCATTCTGATGTAGTACGGTGGCCTGAACCGAACTGCGTAATCCAAGTGAGGTCTCACAAGCGTAATGACTCTATCAAAGTGACTTATACCTGTAGGTACTATACAGCCACGTGTCTTTTAAGTCAAATTCCGACGACAACGCTGCGCCATCAAAGACACCAAGTCGATCCTGGAGTTTGAGTAAAATTCCTTCGTCAAAGGCCCAGAACTTGAGTGTGTCGGGGCGGGACTTGTTTCTTCGCAGATTAAAGCCAGTTTTTACATAAAGGCTGTGCAATTTCGCTTTAGTGTGCGTGCGTGCGTGCGTGCGTGCGTGTGTGTGTTTTGCTTCCATATTGTCGCATGAAGTCCTGGACACATTGCACACACACACACCACTTTCCTCACCAACTCCACCATCACAATTAAAGAACCCAAACCTCTCTCACTGATTACAAGCAAGTGGCAATTTCGCTGTGTGTTTTTTTACCCAGATATGTAACCCTTATTGACCCCTGCGGAAGAGGATTTAACCCCTTGTGTATACTTTCATTTTAATCAGGGTAGTTGTCATCATACTCAAGGGGTTAGGTCATCATACTCAAGGGGTTAGGTCATCGTACTCAAGGGGTTAGGTCATCGTACTCAAGGGGTTAGGTCATCGTACTCAAGGGGTTAGGTCATCGTACTCAAGGGGTTAGGTCATCGTACTCAAGGGGTTAGGTCATCATACTCAAGGGGTTAGGTCATCGTACTTAAGGGGTTAGATCATCATACTCAAGGGGTTAGGTTATCATAAGCAAGAGGTTAGATCATCATACTCAAGGGGTTAGGTCATCATACTCAAGAGGTTAGATCATCATACTCAATGGGTTAGGTCATCATATTCAAGAGGTTAGATCATCATACTCAAGGGGTTAGGTCATCATATTCAAGAGGTTAGATCATCGTACTCAAGGGGTTAGGTCATCATATTCAAGAGGTTAGATCATCGTACTCAAGGGGTTAGGTCATCATATTCAAGAGGTTAGATCATCATACTCAAGGGGTTAGGTCATCATATTCAAGAGGTTAGATCATCGTACTCAAGGGGTTAGGTCATCATACTCAAGAGGTTAGATCATCATACTCAAGGGGTTATGTCATCATATTCAAGAGGTTAGATCATCATACTCAAGGGGTTAGGTCATCATATTCAAGAGGTTAGATCATCGTACTCAAGGGGTTAGGTCATCGTACTTAAGGGGCTTGATATAATATGAAGTGACATCTCATGTAATTAATTGGACATCCGTGAATTTAACCTAACCTAACCTAACCTAACTTAACCTAACCCAACCAAACCTAACCTAACATAACCTAACTTAACCCAACCAAACCTAACTTGACCTATGCCTTCTTCTTCTAATTAGGTACTCCAACTACCACCAGGGTTATGAAGCATCGTTCACTAGGTCTAAGGATTAGGTTGAGAAGGGCCAATCAGCGTGTACATCATTGTTTGCAAAGGCCAATCAGGACCTTGCATACCCTCATAAGCGTGGAATCTACCCTAGAATAAAGGAAGTGCCATAGTGAAGGTGGCAGATAATGTTTCCTAGTTAAATGGCATATTAACCCGTTATATAAATTAAACATGACTTTCAATATGGCGTCGAAATTACACTGAGACTAAAGCCTGTTATGATGAAATATTATACGCACACACACACACACACACACACACACACACACACACACACAGCTCTGGACCTTTTTACTGACGCTCTCAAACCCTAAGGATCCTCAACTAGAATTTATTCATGTGGTAAATCTTTGTGGGTTGTTTTCACTCTCTCTCTCTCTCTCTCTCTCTCTCTCCCTTCCCTCCTCGACTGGCACTAAGCTCTGGTGACGTCATAGGTGATTTGCCATACTGGAATTTTATTAAAAAAGAAAAACTCTGGAAATTTATAAAATATTAATTAAATAGTAGTTTTTTTTTTAGTAAATGTTTTAGGCGTTTTAAAAGAGTTATTAGTAAATTGACTTAAAAGGATGTGTAGTTTTTATTAGTATTTTGTAAGGAATGAAATTATTTGAAAAAGACATTCGGGATTTAATGATTTTTGTTGGTGTTTGTTTTGT